TTATGTAGAAGTTTCATAGTGTAAATTTTAGTACTCACGGGGAAATTGAGTCAATCGGTTTGACTTGCTGACCTCTAGTTGACTTTGACTTGACCGAAATTTGACGGTTGTCACATGTTCAGAGAAAACAACTTCACATCCATTATCCTTACACAATTTATGTACAGACAAAAGGTTAACACTAAAGTCTGGCACAACAAAAACATCAAATAAAGTAAGATTAGAAGACAGTTGAACATTCCCAATCTTATTTATTTTTGCAGAAGAACCATTTGGATGTTTTACAAGTAGATTTAGTTTAGACACATCCACAGTGTCTTGGAGTTGTGATTCTGAGCCTATCATATGTTGATTTGCTCCAGAATCAACAATCCAACTTTGAGATTTATTTGGAATAACACAAGAGTTAAAACAATATGTTGTTGTACCTGCCATATTTGCAGCAGCAGTTACATCCTCACTACCAGAACTCTCATTTATAAGATGAAGAAACTTTGAATATTGTTCACTAGTAAGATAATGACATTCACTACCAGACTCAGAAGCAACCACAGAGCTGCTGTTAGGACCAACAGAAGAAGAATTCACAGAAGCAGATTTGTTTTGATTATTATTTCCATTTCTTTGTTTAAAATCCTTAGGATATCCAATCAATTTAAAACACTTTTCTATTGTATGACCTTTAAGATTACAATGCTTACACTGTAATCCTTGATTTCTGAATCTATTCTGACCTTGACCTCTTTTAAAATCATTAACCTTACTATTAAAAACAGACACTTGAGGTTTTGAAGAACTAACAGAACTCAAAGACCCATTCTTTTGAAGAGACTCTTCTCTAGAGAGAATTGAGAAAGCAGTTTTAACAGTAGGTAATGGTTCCATTAAAAGAATGTGACTTTTAACTTGATTATATACATCATCAAGACCACTTAAAAATTTCATTAATTTCATCATTTTAGAATGATCATTTAGTTTATTTGCAACCTCACAAACACATTCAGACAAACTAGTCAAGCCATCAAACTCTTTCCATAAAGAATCAAGTTTATTATAATAGTCTGAAAGAGAAGAACCACTTTGTTTTAAAGTGTTTATTTGCTGATGAATATTAAAAATTACAGAACCATCAGCCTTATTATAGGTTTCAAACAACTAATCCCAAATATCTTTAGCATTATCAGAATAAACAAGACTAGCATATATTGCTTCAGATATAGATCCTAATAACCAATTACACACAACAACATTCACACGTTCCCATTTAGATTTTTTTGTTTCATCAGTTTTTTCAAGAACAATAGTTCCATCCACAAAACCTAATTTATTTCTAGCTTTAAGGCCTCTAGTCATTGCACTACGCCATAAACAAAAATTTTCATTACCAGTCAACTTGATAGTTATTATGGAAGTGACTGCATTATCAGATGGATGTATGTATAAGGGATCATCAAAGTCAACTGAAGAATCCTTAGGGACACCACTTCCCTCAGGTATATCTCCAGCCATAACAAATCAGAAAAAAACAATACCAATTAAAACAGACAAGAACAAAAAACAACACTTGTGTTGGCTTAAAGTCCAGATGGTCACCACAATTTGTCGGGGCCCAAGACAACCAAAGCACAAGGTGAACAAAGGCAAAAAATCAATCAACAATTTTCAGACAACAACTAACTGATGTACCAGATCTTGTACATCTATAACCAAACAAGAGAAAGGGAACAAGAAACCCTCACAATGCTTTAAGGCAAGTTATTTGTTTATGAAAAAATTGACTCCCTGAATCTTTTACTCAACGGGTTTATCGGTGATGAAATCCGACCCCAAAGAGAAGATTAGAGGGATTAATCGATAACTGATACTTGTGACTTTCAGTTCCACTCAGATCTTAGCACCAGCAGGAAACTCAATCTGCAAGAACAACAAAAAATTCTCGCAGTACCAGGATCTAAAAGAATATAAAGAAAAAAGAATGAAACCCTAAGTCTAATACAAAGTAACTCAAAACGAGGTTAATCGAAGAACAAAAAATCTAACCTCATAACATCGATGACTCAGATCATAGTCACGAACACCAGAAGATGCGTCAAGAACAGCGAGACGACGAGCCTTAAGCTCTGATACCATGTTAAAAAACTACAAACTCATTTTTCCCAACATCTTCATTTCTTATATCATTAGAGGACAAAGAAACAGAAGGTTTTCAAGAACTTACATAAAAACCTCACTACATAAAACCTATTATACTCTCACAACAAAACACTCAAACCCTAATCTAAAAGATTATCAAATATGAACAATCGAGACATAACAAACCAGAATATGAACAATGATCAGAAAAATACAACATATCTAGTTCTCGATCTATGTAATCTGTAAGAAACCCTAACAAACGAAGCTTACAGAAGAAACTTGCATCGGAGAGAAGAATAAGATGAAAAATATCTTGACTAACTGATCTCTTCCCACTCTCTCTCTTCTTTTATATCTCACCTGCATAAAACGGATCTAATAACCCGACCCAATTTTTAGGTCCGCGCCTTTTTCCTTTTTCACACCTGCAATCACTTATACAATATGTATATATATACGTATAAAAATAAATATAAGATTGTACTTTAACTCATAATATTTTCAACAAATATCAATAGTTGTTGTGTGAAGAGGAGAATGTACGATATGCCTGATATGGGAGAGAACTGATAGTTCGACATTGGGTGTTGCGCGGAGGAGAAAATGGTACCTGGGGACCAAGTGTTCGTCCTTGCTTTTTGCAACATCGATTGTGGCTGAGAATTCAAAGGTTGTGGTTGCTTAGTCATTGTTTTCTGTGGCGTTGTGGTCATGGTTGTGACCAGATGCTATGTGTTGATGGGAGGCGGTCGCCATAAGTTTGCCATTGACGCCACTGTGGTGTCCTCCATGGAGCCTAGTAGTGCTTGTGCGACTGGCATTTAGATGGAGGCTTGTCCTTCTGGTGCAAATGTTTGTGTTCCGTCGAGCGACAACATAGATCTGAGTGGATTTATCTCTCCTCCACCAGGTGCCAGAGGTCCATTACCCATTATTGTCGACGCCTAGTGTCATATCAAGGTTATGTAACTCTGAGTATATGCCCGGTTGAAGCCAAATGTTGTGATTTGTGCTCCATTCTTAATGTCGTCTCGTGGTGGTTCCGTCTAAGTTAAGCCTTGTAATCATAACAATAAAGAAGCGGCGTTAGTCGACGTCTAGGAGGTTGTCCCAGGAAGAAGCTTCGGTGCTTTAGTTAGTCTGAATGTATATATGAGAATGCATATATTAAGGTTTTTTTTGTAAGGACGCGTGAGCGCCAAGCACCAGAGTTCTAATGCGAGACCACAAGGGCGATGGCGAGGGTGTGGCACTAGGCTGGTTACTGACCGTTAGCTAGGTCATCTTAAAGATATAATTTATGTTATCTTTACCGTATTCATATATGGATATGCTAAAATGACATATCAAGAGTTGGATACCAGTATGTTATTGCAATGTGATCAACTTTGGGTCGATTAACATTAACTACATGATTTTGTAATGAGGAATCTCATAAGTGTTATACATATTTTGGAGCTTAGGAAGAACTTAATATCATTGGGAGTTTTGGAATTGAATGAACTTAATGGCAATGAAAAGAAGAAACAAGTATGTGTATAAGTTTCTTAACAGGGAAATTGTGTTGGGCTCGATTGCGATTTCAAGCTCTAAAGTTGCTAATTCGGAGATGCCATGACTACCACACTTGATGAATTTGATGGTCTACCAAAAGATTTTTCTTGATATGTAGGAAGCGCTAGAGGGTATCTTAAGGAAGGTAGAGGACGACCGATTTGAGGCGATGTTGATTGACGAAGGAGCTAGATGTATGGAAGTTTAAAAAAAAACTTCTAAGTATCGAATTCCACATATAATACTTAAGATTAACTTGAGTGGTTATGGAGTTGGCTGTGTTCGAGCTCGATGGGAAGTATGAAAATTTTTGCATGGTGGTGTGTTCTTGAATTGGAACTGGGAAGTGGCTTAATATGCATGTCAAGCTAAACAATATTGAGTTAGGCCGTATGTGACATATATATTGTGGATCCTAGGTGAAGGATTAACATGTGCAGGATATGTATAACAATGAACATAATCGAGTAATAAGATGATAAAGATGAGTTAACTGATATTGTATCATGGATCAAAGAGATAATACAATAAAGAATACAAATTATACTTGGGATATAATTCCCAACCAACAATCTCTCTCTCTCTCTCTCTCCCCCCTCTCTCTATCTTAATTCTTAATGACTACATTATGTGTTTATACTCTAAAACGATCATTCCTCCACTTTATATACTATTGGAAGGAGTATAATTCTACTTACAAGGGAATATTATAATATATCTATCACTGGTCATTCTAGAGCATTTATTGCTCCAACACTTTCCTCTTAAATGCTCGGAAATGATGAGGTAGTACAAACAGTGGTATAATGCTAAAATACATAATATCCGACTAGTAGGCCTGATGTTGAAAATGATACTGCAATGAAAATCAAATGTTGAAATGTTTCTGAATATGTTGTGACCCTACAAATAAAATAACATTAAGTGACAAAAAAAAGATGTCACTAAATACCAAAAAAGTGTCACTAAAAACACCCTTAGTATTCACCGGCACAAAAAAGTGTCACTATAAACGCGGCCACTAAAAGCCTTTAGTGATATTTTTTGGTTGTGTCACTACAACATTTCGGGTTCTAATAACACTTTTTTATCGTGTCGCTACAACATTTTTGGGTTTTATTGTAACTTTTGTTTTTGCCACTATATACTTAGTAAAATAAAAATTGCCTTCCTACTGTTAGCGACACAAATTTTCACCAAAAAAATCATATTTAAATATTAGGTCCGATTCTTTTTTTATTTCATTAGAATATGGTAATGGAATAATGACAAAGAAAATAATAAACGGACAAGGTTAAATTATAAGACAGCCGGAAAGAATAACTTGCAAATAAATATATGCACAACATAATTACTTTTATACACCCACCAAATTCGCATTAAACCAACATACAAAGGGCAAGCAGAAATGAAATTTTCGTAAACATGATAATTCGATATTTTCCTAAACATTGTAACTCTAGTGAAAACACAAGCATGTGTGAATACGGAAACTTGACATCGCTATTACACGTTTTGAATGTTGTGCCCTTTTTTCTAGTAACTTGCTCTTTGCATCTCAAAAAGGTGCATCAGATTTTGACGACATCGGTTCCTGAAATAAATCAATCACAACATACACAATGAAGGAAATAGTTGATCCTATTCGTTGATAATCTCCCTTTATTTGGTTTCATCTTGCAATTCCCACTACAAATTCAGTTCCTCACAACAAGTAATCCATATATAAGATTATTACAAACTTAAATGGTTGGACCCTTTTAATTCGATGTCATCGACATCTTTCCATAAAGATAATTCTCATTATATTTGGTTCTACCATACATATCCCAATTGCATCAACATCAACATCGATTGCATGGTTATGGAAAAAGTACAACCAACTCATACACTACACAAAAAATACAATGAGTTGAATAACGTATTTTAATGTCTTACTGGGCTTCAACATGTATGACAACAGAAAGTCCACTAGATACAACATGGTTGATGTCATTAGAGGTGGAGGTGACTCTTGAACAGTCGCTAACACTGCTACTAGCTGCAATTGCCGTGCTAGTGCTTTCTGCTGCGGATGTTACACCTTCAGTTGCTGGGCCTTCACCACTGAAATTGGGCTCATCGATGTTCGGCTGAAATTGCGATCGTACAGGTCGCGAGATAGGCCCCACAGCTAAGAAGACACAACATCTACAGAGTGGACAAGTGGAATTGGATTGAAGCCAATGGTGAATACAGTCCTTGTGGAACACGTGTTTGCATGAAGGCACTTGAATCAACTCTTCATTCATTTCAAATTCACCAAGACAAACACAACATCTGCAATGATATTATATAAAAATGTATGTAATCAATCCCCCAAGGACTCGTCTTCCAGACATTATTATTATTAACCAATTCCGCAAATAACATAAAGGTGTTTAATCGTAAATAGAAATAATAGAATATGAAAAAGTGTTTTTTTGGTATAATAGCATTGAAATACTATAAATTAATTAGTAACTAAATAGACGTATGATCCACTCAGAGATATTAATATTTATATATAAAGATTAGTAGCTTTTAAATATTTAAAATCATTACAAACACCTGCAAAATTCCACTAACAATCATGATTAGGATAAAGAAAATAAAGTGAATATCTGAACATATAATGAGGTATAAAGTGGACTATTGTTTCCCACTTTATATATTTCTTTTTCATAATTATATAATGATATTGATTGAGAGCATATATGCCTGCCTCTAAGATGAATGGCATTCATAGGAGATTCTATCATGATGATGATAATTCCATATATTGGCACTTTTGAGAAAAGGAAAGGTTGTGATTTACAATTCCATAATCCAAAGGAATAAGAACTTGGTAAATATATGTGACGTTACTTAAATATAGGGTTGATGCAATAAAATAATAACGTATTTTCATAAATGTCCTTTTTAATTTTGTTATGGATTTCATTTTGTAGATCATAGCTCATGATTCAACATAGAAGTTTCATGGGGGTCATATTTTTCGATAGATAGGATATCATATAACATCTATAGTATCTACGTATAAAATATTTGTCATTAACTACACTTTTATTACTTTCAAAAGTTATAAAATAGCAACTCATCATTCTAACTAAGCAATCTATCCATATAATTATATTGTTTAGGTTACATGTACATATATTGAGTTATAAGAAGGTATTCATTCGTTTGTTTTCTTGAACTTAAAGTACTATAATTGTGAGTTTAATAATGAGATGCTATGTTTATGTGTTGTTCTTTGAACTTTTCAATAGAAAAAATAAAAGCTTTTTATTCTTAAATATTTACAATAAATTACATTTTGTAGCATTCTATTGAATTTTATAGAGTTCAATGCTTTGTAAAAAAAATAATAGAATTATATAAATTATAAAAAGATGATTTGATAATCCATTGAAGATTAGAGTTTAATGGATTATGGATACCTTTATTTTCAAATGAAAAAAATGAATATACCAAAAAATTTAAGTTTTTGTCCTTTATAAATAATAACAACAAACATTTTTTTTAAGTTTAAGCTCATATCCACATTTGAATCTAAATTATATCTAATTTTTTATTTAATATAATTCTCATTTGAATTTTTATTGTACTCGACTATTGATTATTTAGTATTACTAGTTAAATATAATTTTTTAATTGTTAATGTTTAATATTTTAATGTGTATGATCATCATGTACAAGAATAGTCTATCAAAATTTCAGTTTACATAATTGTCATTCATATACGGGTGACGAATTTAATTATTAAATATCTATGTAAATGACTCATAATCTTGATATATCAAATTTATTTGTAGATTTAAAAAAATATTTACATTCATATTTGAATTTGATTAAAGTCACATTAGAATCCAAATAACTCAATTGATTTTAGATTTCAATATCATGATCATATATACAAATGACTTTACTGAGAATAATAAGTGGATTTATTGGGATTAAAAAGTAAATTTACTAAGATTAATAAATATGTAAATAATAAGTTGCCATATATGTCGTTTTTAAAACTTAATTTTCATAATTTTTATTTGTAACTAGTTTGGTAGTTGTTCAGTAGAAAGATATAATGTAAGAGATAGATAATAATGAAAATTTTAAAATTATTGGAAGCGATTTTTAAAAACTTTGGACAATCATAGTGGATATATGATAAAAAAACAACGGAATATAGGTATTAAAACTTATATATCTTGGAGAGTATATTAACTTTTCATATATATATATATATATATATATATATATATATATATATATATATATATATATATATATATATATATATATATATATATAAAAGTTTAGTTCAAATAGTGGTCTTACACAGAATCCTTTGCTTTTAAATCTTCATCAAAGAGAACCTTTGGCAGCTTATCCTTGAGATCTCCTTTCAATCCCGCATAAGTCTAATAAATTCATTAAAAAACAATAATTAGGCCCAGTAATATCAAATCAACATATTACTATAATTCATAGGTGAGTTTACATGTAGAAAAGTAAATCAAATCAAATTAACAATAAAGTATATCCTACAATTGTTTTGATTTGCAAATCAACAATAAATTGCAATTGTAATTGTAATTGTAAAAAAACTGCAACTTTGTTAATTTTTAACAGAAAACCAATTGCAAACTTCTATTTAGTTTTTTCCGTGAATTTTCAGGAGCAGAATTGTTGGTTTGCAACCAAATAACAAATATAACGGATTCACATAATTGAAAGTAAAACTACAAATATGTGTTAATTTACCATGGGGATAAAAGAAGTAGCATAATTGAAAGTAGAAGGTGGAAGTGTTGGTGGAGAAGAAGAGAGTGCATAAGCCCTTCTTTTAAGGTAGAACAAGTAGAACAAAAGGAATAGTATGATGGAGAAGAGGATTGGGATGGAGAATATAAAAGCTTGATAAACCCTAATTTGAAGTGCATGGGAGTATGGATGATAGTTGATGCTTGGAGTTTGAGGAACACTCATTTCTCACTGCTATTCAATTTCTAATCAAAAGTTCCTTATCATCAAGTTATAGACCCTCTGCAATACAAACCAAGCATCGTGGAAGGTATGCCTTTATATCTTTAAAGAATCTTGCCACTTAACCATAAAGTGTAATATGTATACATGTATATGTATGCATATATATATTTGCAAGTGGGGGTGTGGGATATTTGAGGTTGGACAAAGTATCTCTTGGACAATGAAATATGGTATATTAAAGAAGCAAATACAGTAAGGTTTGATGAAGACTAGTAAATATATGGTGGAATCGAACTTTATTGACGATTTGGATATGGGAAAATATCATCAAGAGTAATCACTGGACCTTTAGCATTTAATATTGGAAACCTTTTTAAAACAACAAATCAGCTCACATACTTATATATTTAATTTGATTTCAATTCAAAATCTAATGATTACAAATCTTTATCGGTTTTATTGAGCCAAAACAACCTTTGGCACGTAGCTAGAGATATAAACAATCCATGAGAGTAAATGGTGGGTCTATCCAAACGGATTACTACATTTTGAAGTCTTAGGTCTTGAAAACGATAGCAAACTACTCTAATTACTGTTGTATCCATTTTGAATCACATAAAATGCCACACCTATTCAAGGCCCTCTTGACACGTTTTATCTTTAGGTATCTATTAATTCAACTTTTTGCCACATACGTTTCAAAATAGGTTCCATTTTCAGTTGTCAGGTTTGCACAGTGGGGTCTTTGGCTTGAGTAAATGTTATTTGAAATTAACTTTCACGTTGCATTGCATTGCATTCATTTGTCCAGAACCGGTTTCGATAGCGTTACAAATAAAAAAAACCGGAATAGAACGATCTTGCTTTTACACTTTTTGGTAATATAACATTGTCAATTAAATAAATATCAACTTAAATCTTTTACAACTTTTGGTGCTAATATTTGTGAGTACGTCGAAAGCTAATTTTTTTAAAACTATATTTATAGATCTTGTGATTATAATATTACTATGAATGATTCATTGGATTCTATTGAGAATCTCAACAACACCTCGCGCAATGAAACCAAAGGTACAATATGCGGAAATAGTATAAATATGTATTGATTTTCATTTTCCATGCACACTTTGGAAAAATTCAAAGACCCCATGCAATTTAACAAAAAAAAATAGACCCTAAAACTTGAACGATCTAAAATATTAAATAAAAAAATTATAACAATTCATATTCTATTGCAAAATACATAAAATAAAAGTTCATCCTAATAATACACAAAATAGAAAATATGCTTCCACTTAAAAATAGTCATCTTTTAAATATTAGTTGAAATAAACTTTTCAATAGTTTCTTTATAAATAACTTTATCAAAAAGCTTTCTCAATCTTCGTCAAAACCAATTTATTAAATCATTATTGTGTACATTTACTTACTCATCGGACAATTAAACGGTTAGAATAATACACTTATAGTGATGTGTTTTTTCCTATAGAGTTATAAATGTTCACTTAATTATACTCACCGTTTATAAATATTATCACGGTCGTTGTTGACTTTTTGAGACACGAATATAATTATGCTATAAGTATATGTTATCTTCACAAACATATTTAATAGTTTATCATTAATATTGTTTACATACAATGACAAGTTTTAATACAAACACTAATACATTTTTTATTATTTATATTGTAGAATGTTTTTTTTTTAAATTTAATTACATATATTATATAAAATATAATGTAAAAAAAATTTAACTTTTAATAATAATAACTATATAAAGTTATTATATTAAAAAACATACATATACACTTATATAAACCAAATATATTAAACTCTACTTTTTTTTTTTTTTTTTTTTTTTAATTATGAGTAGTGTTGTTTTCAGTTGTTGTACTCCTTTGTCCGGTTGCTGGATAATAATTCTTCGATTGCTTTTTCTTGTGCTTTTGTATTGCGTTATTTGCTTCAACTATATGTATATCTGGAACTTGTAACAACATAAAGTAAAATAGGTGTTAAACATGCATTGAAACACACATGCCCAATTAATGTATGAAATAAACTAATACAATCATTTTTTTTTTTTAAATTGTAAGGCTTAATTAATAAAGATAAGTATTAGTTAATATACCATATGAAACTAAAGTACCTTATGATCAAGAGTTACAAGATTTTTTTCACAAGCCAAAAAACAACCGATTGCATTGAAAATTATTGTTATCTTCATTTGATACACATGCGGCTGACATTATTGCTTCATCCACATAAACTCTATAGTAATAAGTCATTAGTGGCTTTCTGAAACTTCCTAAAATATGGTCCCAAAATTTTTTCATTTTTAATAATAGATAAAATAGTATTTTCCAATATCATCCAAACATTTCAAATAAAAATCAATGTATCAATTGCCATAAAATCAGAGTAAAACATCATATGAGGAATTCCAATGGTGTGTGCGATGCAATCAACCCGCGAGCTTCCCTTTGTAACTGGAAGTACCTGAAACATAAATTGAAAACAGTAAACAAAAAGCTTAGTGAGTTCCCCAAACTACCACATACCATACATATCATGCAATAATAAGATATGGGCCCCGTCCACACTCAGATAAAAGTGTGATACAGGCCCCACCCACACTCAAATAATAGACCCCACCCAATAAGATACAGGCCTCGCCCACACTCGGATAATACTAACATACGGGCCTTGACCACACCCAGATAATAATGAGATACGATCCCCACCCACACTCAGATAATAATTAGATACGGGCCTCACCCACACTCACATAATGGGCCCCACCTAATAGACATACATATAGAAGCACATACAAGTATCGCACAGATAACAAGTATAATAACCTAACTAAATGAGGGTCGACCTTGGTGCCTGAGACCCGCTAAACCAGTGAGGAAAGTCACCTCGAATATTGAACAATAGTTGAACAGGTCCCGAATCCTTATATAAGCTCTACCCAACCCCTAAACAGAAACAATTCCTTAAATACAACTCAAAATGCCCCAAAACCCCTTATAGGTTAAACTTGGTCAAGGATTAAAGTCAAAAGTCAAGGTTAACGGTCCAAGTTGACCCAACACGCCATGTCGTTCTTCGACATGTCGTGTTCTACATACGTTGCAAGATTGGGAAAAACTGTACCAACTTGTCGTGTTTACTAATGAACACGCAGAGTTCACCAAAAATCTAACAACTTAATGCATTAAGCTGTCTTCATCAAATCTAAGAGCTCCAAATCTCAGATTTCCACCAAAATGATATCTAGAAGGGTAAAGTTTCCAACTTTACCCTTAGGAACCACCAAAATGGGTTAAAACCCAAACCCTATGCTCATTTGGGTGAGGGCTTAACCCATTAAGCTCTTAATCTCCAAAGACATAGTCCCAAAATGTAGATCTGACACCCAAATGATGTAAAATCATGTGAAGTTGCCAACTTTATGTTCATGCATGCCAAAAAGAAGCTCTAGAGCTCAAGAAGGGCTTAATAAATGACTTAATGCATGAATGAGACCTAGAACCTAATAAAGCTTGCAACTTTAAGCCAAATGAGGCCACAAAATGGCTAGATCTAAAATAACAACCCATGAAACACTCAACTCCTTGGAAAAGCCATCAATGAGCCCAAAAATCACGATAAAACCCCAAAAGAAGAGATTTAAACAATAACAGAGCATGGTATAAACTTGATACCTCAAAGAGACTGAAACAAATGGGGATATTATGGATCTATATCCTTCCATCCAAGCTAGACACCTTCAAACTTCAAGGCTCCTTCAAAAGAGTACAAAATCAACACTCAAGGTTCTCCACAAGCTCAAACACTCAATTATGGAAAATGATACTCGACTTTAGAGTTTCTGGATAGAGGAGGCTGGTAAGGAGGCCAGCCAAGGGACTTAAGGCCATTAAATAGGGTACAACACCCTAAAAATTAGGGTTTCCTTCCCAACTACCAACACGCCGAGTTAGAGGTACCTCAACTCACTGTGTTGGTTCATTAATCTTCGCAGCCAAAGCCATCTCGACACACCGTGTTGAGGCTTCCAACATGCCGTGTCCCAAAGAAAATATAAAAATTTGGAAAATAAGTTTATACCGAGAATCAAGCGTTACGATTCTCCCCAACTTGAATCAAACATCATCCTCGAAGTCCACTGCCTCGAAAAATCCTGGGTAATGCTCCCTCATCTTCTACTTGGGCTCCTAGTTTCACAATGATCCCTTGCAATGCCGCCACTGCACCTTCACTAACTCTACAACCTTGTTCATCAAGTTTTTCGTCTTTCTATCCAAAATTGCCACCGGTTCCTCGATATAATTCAAGCGATCATCCACCTGAATATCATCCATAGGCATGACTGCGAAATCATCCACTAAACACTTCCGCAACTGAGAGACATGAAATGTTCTATGAATCTAACTGAGCTTGGTTGGAAGATCAAGGCGATATTCTACTCGGCCTACCCAAGCCAAAACCCTGAAGGGACTGATATACCTAGGGCCCAATTTTCCCCACTTCTTGAACCGGATGACACCTTTCCAAGGTGACACCTTCAGGAGAACCATATCTCCAACTTGGAACTCTAAGTCTAACCAGCACTTGTCGGCATAGCTCTTCTGCCGACTCTAAGCTATCTGGAGCCTGCTCAGAACCTGCTAAGTTAACTTAGTAGTCTTGAGTACCACCTCGGTACTCCCCATGACTCGCTAACCGACCTCGCCCAACAAATCGGGGTCCTGCATTTCCTCCTGTAGAGCAGTTAAAAAAGAGGTCGATGAATGCTAGTGTGATAACTATTGTTATATGAAAATTCCACTAATAGAAGATACATATCCCAACTCCCACCACAATCCAATACACACGCATGCAACATATCCCCAAGAGTCTAAATCGTCTGCTCACTCTGCCTATTGGTCTGCGGATGAAATGCTGTATAGAAATGGAGACAAGTTCCCATCTCGTCCTAAAAGCGCTTCCAAAATCAGGAAGTAAAGCGAACATCCCAATATGAAACCACTGATACTGGCACCCCATGACGTGCCACCACCTCCCGGATATAAATCTCAGCCAATTTATCTGCAGAAATACTCTCCTAGATCAGAATGAAATGCATGCTCTTGGTCAATCGATCCACTATGAACCAGATAGAATCCACTCTGTGGATAGTCCTGGGAAGCTTCGTGATAAAATCCATCGTGATATCTTCCCAT